TATAATTTAAGTGATCGTTAGGCTCGGATCAAGATAATGATCAAGTCTTCAACTTGACGATCCTTTCGTCTTTTGAAATCTGTTGTCTTTGTTTCAAAATCTTTCACGTTTTAAAAACCGATCTCCTTTTGTTTAAAGGATTAACAAACCGCTTTGTTAAAATAGCTCCGTAAATAGAAACAGCCTAGGACGGAACTTCTCGTAACGTCAATGACAACCTGAGATGTCACATTTTTTTGTAATTTACAAATGGATATAGGATGAACTCACCCGTTGCTATAACAACTTACCTATGACCTTTGTTGTGACAGTTAAAAAAGAACAGAATGATTGACCGACTGGATCTGTTGACAAAGGTAATATCATGTTGATTTGAAAATGATTTTTGTGTGATCTTGTATTTAAGGATTGGGTGTCAGCCTAATGTCATTATCTTGGCCCTTCGGGATTCAGTGCAACTCACCATGAACCTACCTACCACCTACCTACCTACCTACCTACCTACACACCTACATCCTTCCCTACCTAACTACATACCTAACTCCCTCCCTAACTTCCTAACTTCCTATCTATCTATCTAATCTATCTATCTATCTATCTATCTATCTATCTATCTATCTATCTATCTATCTATCTATCTATCTATCTATCTATCTATCTATCTATCTATCTATCTATCTATCTATCTATCTATCTATCTATCTATCTATCTATCTATCTATCTATCTATCTATCTATCTATCTATCTATCTATCTATCTATCTATCTATCTATCTATCTATCTATCTATCTATCTATCTATCTATCTATCTATCTATCTATCTATCTATCTATCTATCTATCTATCTATCTATCTATCTGTCTGTCTGTCTGTCTGTCTGTCTGTCTGTCTGTCTGTCTGTCTGTCTGTCTGTCTGTCTATCTATCTATCTATCTATCTATCTATCTATCTATCTATCTATCTATCTATCTATCTATCTATCTATCTATCTATCTATCTATCTATCTATCTATCTATCTATCTATCTATCTATCTATCTATCTATCTATCTATCTATCTATCTATCTATCTATCTATCTATCTATCTATCTATCTATCTATCTATCTATCTATCTATCTATCTATCTATCTATCTATCTATCTATCTGTCTGTCTGTCTGTCTGTCTGTCTGTCTGTCTGTCTGTCTGTCTGTCTGTCTGTCTGTCTGTCTGTCTGTCTGTCTGTCTGTCTGTCTGTCTGTCTGTCTGTCTGTCTGTCTGTCTGTCTGTCTGTCTGTCTGTCTGTCTGTCTGTCTGTCTGTCTGTCTGTCTGTCTGTCTTTTTGTTTGTCTGCCCGCCTGCCTGTTTGTTTGTCTTTCAGTGCTGAAACAGTGCATGTTTGGAAAGTTGGAGGGCAGAAGAGGCAGAGGAAGAGCAGATTCTCGACTGTTTAACATCATATCATTGAAGATCATTTGTGTCAGAGTTGACTGAAAGTTCACAAGACAGAAGGATCTGGACAGACGTGACTTCCAGCTCCATACTACATGGACTTCTAGAAGAAGTGGCACATAAAACATTGTATATCATGTGTTCAGTGTCCCTGAGAACCATACACTTTCCAAATTTATCCAAATGACTGGGATTAGACATACAATCTCATTTACAGCGAAATTTTAATCAACCACACATTTTCATCTTGACTTGTGAAATCAAGTTTCGGGGTCGTGAAAGTAGGCTGAGTCTTTAGTTTCACTTACAAATTAAAGGGGTTATATAGGGATAATTCCCAATGTTCATGACATGTGTGAACGTGGGAGGAAATCCTAAACATTCTGTCTCATCTATATTCAATCAACTCTGACACAGATAATCTTCCATGCCATGATGTCAAACTGTCCAGCATCTGTTCTATCGGTCGCCCCCTGCCTCTCCTCACTTCCAACTTTTCTACTGTCAGGATGTACTCGTTTTCTCCTTCTCATCACATGATCAAAGAATGTGCATTGTCTCTTTCTGATGTAGGCAATCAGTTCTCTTCGTGAGCCAGTTCTTTCAAGACGTCTTCATCATTCGTTTATAAAACACATCTTCCCACCTTCCAAATACGTTTTCACTAATTTACTAACTACCCATGATTCATATCCTTTTAACAATTCTCTTTCTCAGCATTATCAACAGCAGCACGGAAATAATAAATACCTGGATGGCTCACTGCGTTTTTTATATGTCCATGTTGTTTTCACTATTCCCTTATAGAAGTGCCTTTTTACAACTTCCATATCGTCTTCTTTATCACTATCTGAGCTCTTAAGGTTTTGTTGGTGCACATTTTATCCGCCCCATTCACCTCAGTGAGTTTCTTTCTCTTATCATTGAGGAACTTCTATTTGTCTTCCCCTTCCTCTTCGCGTTCAGTAGCTGCAGACACTGTTGGCAAGTTCTGGTGTTCCAATACTTGAGTTCTGCGTGCACATCTGTTTCACAGATATGGCTTAGTTGTAAGCAGACTGCTGGTTTCTTGTCACTCAGGCAGGTGAACCCCCGACTTGGAGGAAAAGCTCTAATTAGTAGACTTTTACGACATGCTTGTTAGTGGGACAGTGGGATAACTTACTTTCTTCCACAACGGGACCCTGACACCCATATAGTTAGATAACTTCTAGTAATTGTAGGTCTGTCTGCATATTATCTGTCCACCGATGTTCTAGCTCTGCCTCATGGTCTACTCCTATTAAAGTCTTTTATGTAACACAGTCATGTCTCCGATGCCCTCGTTGAATGCCAAAAAGTGAATTAAGAATTGACATCTCAGCACTCGAGACACTGATATGCGCTCCGTCCCCATCTTCAGCAAGAAGCCAAGAAGCAATAATAACTGTCTGATTGTAGATTCGTCTTTTCATTCCCTTGAGTGTTGAGCGTCCGACAGATTCTCAGGTAATTCCTCGCAGAAAAAAGACCAGAGAAAATGTTTTCTTAGTGTGGTATCTACCATTCTCTGTACATGCTCCAACCATCGGAACTCGATTAGTAAAATGATTAGCATCACGCTGGCCGCTATTGCTTCCCATGTGTCTGTTTCACATAATAGATTGAGTCTCCTGACTTCCTGGTACTGAAGAAGTTCAGTGACATAAGAAAGATCTAGTCAATGTCTCCCAGGCGGCTCCTACAGAGACCTAGTCTTACACACAACCCTGGGTGATCACATTCAATCTTGTATTTGAATATCCTGGTTACTTTGGAAGCATCTGATCCTATCATCAAGGAAGACATCATAGACTACTTCGTTTACGTTGACTTTGCAATTGGAATATCTCCTTCCAGCACACGAAGTGTGTTTCTAGGGAGTTGTATCGTAGACAGATTAACTGGTTCTGCAGAACTTGCTGGAAAATAATTGCACTACAAGCTAGATGCTATCAAGACCCTATGGGAGCCAATGAACAGCGCGGAGGCCCAAACTGGTCATCACGTGCTGAATAGAATGGTGCCGAGGGAAGTCACCAGGGGGTCTGGTCGACACTCAACATTCAGAGTTGAGGTAAGACGAATATACCGACGACTTCTAGTTCTATCAGATCTCTGCTCTGTCAGCTGAATACAAGGATGGATCGCTTCTTGAAATGTCTCGAGTGCAATAATGCCAGTTTTTAAACTGAAATAGGTATCGCAGTGTGTGTTATGGTTTTATTGTTTTGGTTACTTTCTCATTTGTCTCTGTAAATTTGTGTTGTTGCTCTTTTAGCTTTTTTTTAGTCAATTAGGTTCTTAGTATGTAAACTGCACTTTTGGGACGCCTAGGTGTTTATATTCGCAGCCTTCCAGAGTAACTTTGCCAGTCATAGCTCGACTTACCATCAGCCGGTACTTTACAGAACGTGGCTCTTATCACACAACGTCTGAAAGTATCTCTTTCTGAAGCCAAATGTCCCGCCCTATGTTCTTTCATAACCAATGCATCTTTAGTATCCTGTAGGGAGGTAGGTAGTTGTAACCCACCAGAACATCACTCAAGCGATACAATCCGGTGACACAAAGTGCCACCATGAGGATCACAGGTGGAAAGGTCCCAGAAATTCCTTTCAGCCATGCGGCCATATCTAAAAGAAAGTAAAGTAAAGGACCCTTTTCCACGCCTTTAGTATAGGGCATATAGGGCTGGACCTATATTTTTATAGACCAATCGGCACAAGATGGGTTATGTGGTCAGTATCACGCCAGCCGCCTCTACTTCCCGGGACTGCATCCCGTACCCACTCAAGGCTTGGTCGACCTGGGAACCAAGGTAATTTTTGAAAAAAAGTCCGGCTCCTCCAGGGAGCGAACCCTCGACCTTCCGATCCGCGGCGAGCGTCAAGCGACTCTGACACGGGGACTCCACGGCCATATCTATAGTGCGGCTGTATTCAGGTCCCCCGGCAAAAACCAGCGTGGGGCTTCAGATAACACACACACACAAAAATTTGCACCCTACGTGGGGACGACTGTTGTATAAAAATATCCTGTATTCACTTACGCTGAGGTCTATCTCTGCCTCGTTTTCCTGCTATTGTACTCGCTATCAAAGTTCCCAACTGCTTAAACTGTATTTCTGGTGGGCGATTGTTGGCTTTGGCGTCTCTAACAACTGCCATTTGCATGTTCTGCACGCGCATAGTTATGTATTTTTCCGTGACTAATTTGTTTGTTCACCAGTTTTTTTTTTTTTTTTTTTTTGTTTTTTTTTTCATTTTCGCTGGCACAGTAAAGGAACAAGTATGGGGAAACCCGATTGCTGTGAAGTTGACACCTTCACTCAGACTCAGATTAAGGCTGTTGGCAACGTCTATGTCTGTCTGCTGATGTTCCGCCATTGTCTGTTTGTCTGTCTATGTATTTGTATCAGGTTTCTCCCACTGTTTTATAGAACAATGGGTACTGAAGGAGTAAGTGGTCAGTAAGTTTCACATAGGCCGTCTTTACCTCATAAAACAATTCCAAGTACAAAGGCTACAAGGGGAGGGACACTCAGTCCATGTGCCTGCTACCCCGCCTTACAAAGGCGAAGGGGAACAAGGGTGTGGAACTTAAAGAATAATCTTAGTTTAAGAGCATCATATAAATAATAATACTTTCCCTTTTCCAAGCCTTTAGGCGAATAGGGCATATAGGGCTAGACCTATATTTTTTAGACCAGTCGTCACAAGATGGGTGATGTGGTCAGCATCACGCCGGTCACATTTACTTCCCGGGACTGCACCCGGTACCCACTCAGGGCTGGGTCGACCAGGAAAGGTACGGTCATTTTTGAAGAAAAAAAAAATGTCCGGCTCGGCCAGGGAGCGAACCCACGACGTTCTGATCCGTTGTGAGCGTTTAGCCGCTCCGTCACGGCGACTCCCTAAAGTAAATAAATAAATCACCAGAAAATATAAATGGTGCCAGATATCAGGTGCACACACACACAAATAGTTAGTTGCACGTTCTTTACAGGACGTTGCAGAACCAACCCAAGCATTTTATGGTTGTTGTGGTTTTTCTAGGCAAATTTACGTCCAGTAGTTTGCCATTGTTTTCTGGACGGTCGGCTTCTTGATACCACTGTCGAAACCAACGCATGGCGCAAGACCCTGTGCTAGGATCGAAACCGGTACCCCGGCGTTCGCTTCTCCTAAGCCAAAGACACCGATACACACAAAGCAAATGATAAATACGCTATACTTATCAACTTTGAAAAATATAAACGTTAACAAACAACATGTAGGATGAAATGTGTAAGAAATACGGCGGGAGGGGGGAAAAAAAAGCAAAAGGTGAGACAAGAGTCACTAATGAAGAACTCAGAACAATGCGGGTCACAGTACCCGTGAAAAACCTCATAAAACACAATAAAATCAAAAGGCTCAGTCATCTGGTCAGAATGGAGTAAAATCAACCAGCAGCTGGATCGTACTACACGAGAACCGTAGGCTACAAGATGAGATGCCAACCAGGAAAGAGATGGGTGGAAGGAGTAAAAGCTTCCTACAGACAAGCAATATGACATTAGCACAAGCTACGCAACTAGCACAAGACAGGAACTACGTATAACTCCTATCTGAGACGCTTGACGGCATAAGCAATAGGACAAAAGAAAAAAAAAAAATAACTAAGTTATTATTCATAAACGAGTCGGTTATTCCCGAAACCTCTTGTATCAGGCCTGCTAGATATTGTCTAGAAGGTCGCAGTAACATGGACTACTCCTGTTACAACCAACCTAGTATATATAAAACTGGAGATGTTTCAGAACTAACATCTGTGTCGGAAACATCGTCGGTTGTTGGTCTCACATTCTCTTCCACAGTTCGTGGTTCAGCTGATGTTGGGCTTTCCCGCTTTCACAGATCCTAGTTCAGATTACGGCGTCATCTCATCGTTGGAGCGTTAGACCCAAGGTAGGAAATTGTACCAACTTTGATGAAATGTATATCGTAATTTCGTTGTCGGCTGTAAATAAAAGATATTCTTCGATCTCACACCGTCTTGTATCTGTAGGTATTTCTACGCCTCACAGTTTCGTGTAGCGTATAATACAATGGACCACTTCCCAAACCTGGTCCAGAATCTGCGGTTTTATGATCCTTAAACCCTCTCACAGAAATATTTTATACAGAATATATCTTTTATATGTTCTAAAACAATTTTAAAAAAGAAATGCTTGTCTTTTACATGACGTTGCAGAACCAACTCCAGCACTTTCTGGCTATTTGTGGCTTTTCTAGACAATTTTACTTCAGTAGTTTGCCATTGCTTTCTAAACTGCCAGCTGTACATTTTATTGTTGACATCAACGCAAAATAATTTGCTGTCAAATCTCCTGCAGCTGGGATCGAACCCCGGACTTCCGGAATTCAAGTCACATTCGAAACCTTTAAGCCACTGAGGCCAGAATGGTTTTTGAAACACATTTTATATTTTTTCAGATACGTTATTTTTTTTTTAAATTTAGTATTTAGCAAATTGGTTGTTTGAATTGGCACCGGTAATGTTAGATAGTCTTTGCTTTGGAACTCATAGGGGCACAGGAATAAAGGAAGGCCCAAATAAATTATAGAGAAGAGAGCTGGAAAATAAAGTTAGAAAGATGGGACGGACATGGAGAGAGCTGCAAGTATTAGCAAAGGATAGAGCGACTTGGCTGACTTGCTTGATAGCCTATGCTCCATTGGGGGCTAGAAAGGCAAAAGAAGAAGAAGACTGGTTATGTGTAATTTCGGTAGACATTTTAACTTTCATTAGTTTGCCATTGTCCACTCAGTGATCGGCTCTAAATACCACTATCGAAACCAAAGCAAGACCGTCTATTGCCAGACTGCTAGTAGCTGGGTTCAAACCCAGCACCCCGGCATTACGAAGCGCCCAAGCTACAGACGCGAAACGTAACTAACATAACAAATAAAAGAAAAAAAGTTACATTAGCAAGAAAGACTTAGTTTAATTTATGTGTCAGAAGGAAATTGTGAATAGAGAAAGAGCTGAAAGTTACGGCCTCGCTCGCGCCACGGCGTCACAAGCCGCTTAACGGGCCATTTCCCGAGTCAGCCGCCAGAGATTAAAGTCTGGGACACAATTCAGGACCTTTGTTCAACGCGCTGCCGGGATCTGCTATAAACGATCGTTAGGAGCGGAGTTAAGGTCATTAACCGTCCGCAAGATATTTGATTCTTGGTTCGTTAAAGAATTCTCCGTAGAAGACTGATGATATTTAACATAGGCAGGTTTAACAAAATCGGTAGCTGCTTGAGAAGAAATATGTAGCAGAAGTTTGAATACATGTTTTTTAGGCCGATTCGATAACTTTATTTTAAGTATAAATTTGAAAGATATTTAATTGGAGGATTAAAAGAGAATTCTCTTAAAAAAGTTAAACGCCATTTCAAATAGGTTGTAAAAGAATACTCAATATATATTTTTATGATATTTCATATAGGTCGTTAGAGAATACTCAATATACACTTTAATTATAATTGACATAGGCTGTTTTTGAATACTCAATATATATTTTAATCATATTTTACATAGGGTGTTTTAGAATACTCAATATAAATTTTAATCATATTTTACATAGGCTGTTTTTGAATACTCAATATATATTTTAATCATATTTTACATAGGGTGTTTTAGAATACTCAATATACATTTTAATGAAATTTTACATAGGGTGTTTTAGAATACTCAATATAAATTTTAATGATATTTCATACATAGTGTTAGAGAATACTCAGTATACATTTTATTGACCTTTTATATAGAGTGTTAGAGAAATTTCAGTATACATTTTAATGATATTTCAGATAGAGTGTTAGAGAATATTCATTATACATTTTAATGATATTTCATATAGAGTGTAAGAAAATACTCAGTATACATTTTAATGATATTTCATATAGAGTGTAAGAAAATACTCAGTATACATTTTAATGATATTTCATATAGAGTGTTAGAAAATACTCAGTATACATTTTAATGATAATTCATATAGAGTTAGAAAATACTCAGTATAAATGTTAATTATATTTCGTATAAAATTTCATATAACCCTTTAAAAAAATTCTCGGTAAAAGCTTATCAGATACATCGTTATAATTTTGGACATACATTTACAAAGGATTTCACATATGTCTATTAAATAATCTTTGGTGGATGGTAAAAAGAGGATTGATAAACGGCTTATTTTATTATTCTCATATCTTTGGACACATGAATAGAAATAGAATTTTAAAAAAAAAAATTATATTGGGGTTACTCAAAACAAATGTTTAAACGTAAACCAACCTAATGAGCTAATTCTCATTGAAAATTTAATATATGCTTTTTTATCTGCAAATTAGAAGTAAAGCTCTATCAGAGGACAGTTGCCCGTCTCTCTAGCGTAGTTGGCTAAACCGGATTGCGCGGAGACCGGGTGACGAACTCCTTGTGGTCCGGGTTCAATCCCGGGGGTGGGCAGGAAAGCCCCATTTTCTCCCAGATTTACGGTATTTACAATGGAATCAAGGCCGAAGGGTTGCGATATCCATAATACCGAGCCTAAGGGTTAACAACTCATGGCTTCTGGATACTAAAACAAACAAACAAACAAACAAACATCAGAGGACAGTTAGAAAATATTCTATTTCCGCTATCAGGAAATATCAGTTAAAGCTACACTCGCCCAAACACACACACACACACACACACACACACACACACACATATATATATATATATATATATATATATATATATATATATATATATATAAATAGTTCGTCAGATATTGTTAGTAAATGGGCAGTAGAAATGAAATGATTTTTCACTTAATTTATGGTTCAATGCAATGTGGTAGACAAGTATGAAAAAAAAAAAAAAAAAACATACTGCACTGAAACTCATACCTACCGAGGACACATAGATTCAAGACAACACACTAAACAATATTGACATCAATAAGTTTGATTACCACCGACTGATCAAGCCTGTAGCATTTTGTTACTTTTAGACATAACGATTTTTTTTAATAGGAGGAAAATAGAGAACAGTTTTTAGATGCCTATAAATATAATGAACTGGAACAATATTATTTGGTTCAGTGCTAAACAATATATGTACATATATATTATCTCCTTCATATTGTGCAGATTTAACATTGTTAGATAATTCTGATGATGGCACCACCACATTTATTTCAACGATAACTTCTGAGAAGTTTACAATATTGTTGATAAATGGTCTTCAGTTTGTCTGTACTTATATTTTTACATCTAATTATAAAGTAAGTTTTCAATTGTGCTTATCGCCTACTGATTCTTTATTGTGAACATAAATACATTTCTATATTTAACTATATTTTTTTTGTTTGTATTTACATTCATATTTATACACCTTTTAATATAAAACTGAAAATCCCTGTATGTCTGTCTGGCGACTGAAACAGGGCCACATCTCAAGGGTGACCCGTAGAGGCTTGAAATTGGCAAACATTATTCACGCTTCAATATCTAAATTTACTGTGCAGTTTGCAACATAGTTTCTACTTATTTCTAATAATCAACCCTGAGGTTACTAAAAGTTAACATTCATTGCAGTTATCGTCCTTAGAATCTACATATATTTTTTACGTCTCTTAATGAATTAGTTTGAGGAGAAAAGTAAAAATTTAGGTTTCATCTCCTTTTATACTTTATACATGGACAGTAACTGTCCTTTTTTTTTTTTAAATAGCAGCTAGATAAGAGCCAAGAAATCGTAGTGGCTGGACCAGTGTTTTCCATTCTTCTTCTTCTTCTTCGCGTTCACCAGCTGTAAACTCTGGCGGAAGGTTCTGGTTGCTCGTCCACTACTGAACTGCAGTCCTGCTCCAGAACCTGAGTGTTGCGTGTGCACCAGTTTTACAGATCTCATTCTCTTGAATACAGACTGTTGGTTCCTTGCCTCTCCGGCAGATGCACTCCGACTTCAAAGGAAGCTTCCCAATTAGTCGACTCTTACGACATGCTTTTGGGGAGGCAGTGGGTCTATTCTTGTTTTCCCCACAATGGGGCCCCGTAACCCACACGGGGGTGTTTTCCATTGAATTGGCGCTTCCACCGCAGCAGGAATGCTGGGGCGTAGCTTCATCGATCACATTCGTGGGGCGTTGGAACGGTTCCTGGAGCGGTTAAAAGCCTTAAGTGCAGTTATGAGTAATGACCAGGCACACGTCATCGGCGGAGACGAAGATAAAGCAGAGTGCTTTTGTAAACCTTTTGAGTGCTTTTTGCAAGTGATGCTATGCCTATATTGTTATAGACAAATTAGTTGGCACCTTTCCGTCTGTCCAGACAATAGTTTTAAATTGTCATACAAGGAAGCTTTGGTCTCACAGCCCATGGCGATGGCGAGTGTTACTATCAAGACCTATCAGCGTTGAGTTAAGACTTCCACAATTATCATGGGATTTCAAGACCACTGATGCCAACATTTGTATTTAGTATGTTTGTTCTCAGATGCTCTCTTCTCATCCTTTCTGCAATAATTTCATCCTTAATTCTCATTCCCATCCTGATTTGCTTCATGGCCATTTGCATTTTGTTTAAACAAATCCATCTCATTACTTGTATCATTCATGTTCCGCTTGCACACATATTTATAAAGTAGTAGAGGTAGGCCTTGAAATCTTCTAGCCATCTGTAATTCACTACATAGGATGTCCTTAGGGACTGTGCCGTCAGTTCTCCAGGTGTGACCCAACCACCTAAGCCTTCGTAGACTAAACATTGAGACAACTGTAGTAATACTTGCTCTTTCCAGTACCTCATTATGTGTGATCTTATCTTGCCACTTAACGCCAAGTATTCTTCTTAGGAATCACATATAAAAGATATTCAGCCGTTTCTTATGCCGCGAATGAGTTGTTCAAGTTTGACTGCTGTAAAGCAGAGTGCTGAGAACACAAGCCTGTTAGATAAGAGTTTTTGTTCTCGGGCACGTGGGGGCGGGGGGAAGGGGTTCTTGCCATACATTCAATGAAGTGCTACCTGAAAGAGGTTGGAAACCAATGGTCTAAAATGTGCGCTAATTGACATCTCTAGCCGGTCTTGAAAATGTCCGGTCTATAAGTCCGGCAAAAAGTAAAGTAAGTAAAGGTCCCTTTTCCACGCTTTTAAGCGTATATGGCATATAGGGCTAGACATACTTTTTATAGACCGATCGGCACAAGGTGAGTAATGTTGTCTGCATCACACCTGCCGCCTATACATCCCAGGACTACACCTAGTACCCATTCAAGGCTGGGTCTACCTGGGAGCCAAGGTCAGTTTTGAAAAAAGTCTGGCCCCGCCAGGGAGCAAACCTACGACCTTCCGATCCTCAGTTGAGCTTCTAGCCGCTACGCCACCATCTCTCAGTCAAGTAATACCTATGGCATTATTGTTCTTCTCTCTTGGTTTGAAATAGAATGATAGAACAGAAACCACGTTTAGAATCAAATGGGAAATATATTTTTAACTGTAATGTTATATTTTTGAGCGCAATGAATGTAACTTTCAGCGCCATTTTGATAATCAATGTACTATCCACACAACGATGGAATGGAACCAACGATGCCAGCATCAAGAGCATACAACATGAAAATCGAAACACCAAGAGGCAGGGGAAGACCAAGAAGAAGATGGATTGAAGGAGTCACGGACAACTTGAGACTTTATAACATCACGGCATATGAAGCGACTGAGCGCGCCCTGGCTCGGTTGCCGATCATCTGATAGACTGCGACGCCTAGCGGCACAAGCAGATTTTGACAAAAGAAGAAGAAGATCCACACAACTGACGACTTTGGAACTTCTGAGGAAACTTGGCAAAACTTGGATTTTACAGAGCGTGTCGACGCGTTGAGTGCATCAGTTGTGGCCATATTTTGAGAATTTAACTCAAAACACGAGATTCACTTCGATTGGTTACATTAGAAATTATTGCTGTATAATACTTAATAGACAGTCCAGCAATAATCAAGGTATATTTAAATACCTCATATAAGCAAAAATAGTTTGTAATTACTTATAATGGAGGCAGGCAAATCTGACATACTTGAAGAAAAAAATAAATATTCATATCCAATTTCCTCCACTTATACTCTACTGCAGCGGCGACATAATTGTTTGCACATCGGTATTAATTTCGAATCGAACTATAATATGGACGAGGCTAAACAAGCACACTGATCTGATCCTTGCTTGAGTGATCCCATGCGATAGCGAAACATGCACACATCTGCCAGAAACATGGTGGTAATGTCACCAACGTTCTTTTCAGGGAATGCTACTCTTGTTTATTTGCAGATCCTCTGACCAATAGCACCATGAAGTCTTCAAGTTATCTGCTCCTGACGGTGACCTCAATGTGTTACGCCGTTCAGGATGATATACTGAGACTGCTGGATGGCGAGGATGTCTCACTAGACCTGGAGTCTTTCTGGCCTTGTAAGTTGTCATTCAATCAGTCACCCCTTCAACCAATCGGTCAGTTAGTCAGTCATATCAACTAATCAGTCATCCCCTGTGGGTTCCAAGGCCCCATTGTGGGGAAAAGAAGAATAGACCCACCGCCTATCCTAAAGCTTGTCGTAAGAGTCGACTAATTGGGAGCATTCTTTGAAGTCGGAGTGCATCTGCCTGAGAGGCATAGGACCAACAGTCTGCATTCAAGTGAATCAGATCGGTAAAACTGGTGCACACGCAACACTCGGGTTCTGGAGCAGGACTGAAGTTCAAAAGTGGACGAGCAACCAGAACTTTCAGCCAAGGTTTACAGCTGGTGAACGCAAATTATTAGTCAATTAGTAAATAATTTAACCAGTCAGTCAAACAAATATTCAGCCAAGCAGTCAATTAGTCAATCACTCAAACAGTCAATTGATTAATCATTCGACAAGCCGTTTAATTAAGCAACCATTCAATACATCAGTCAGTTAGTAGATGATTTAACCAGTGAGTCAAATTTTCAGCTAAACAGTCAATTAGTCAATCTCTCAACCAGTCAATATATCAATCATTCAACTATTTTCTCAATAAAGCAATCATTCAACCAATCATTCAAGGAGTCTCTCAGTCAAGCAATCTGTCAATAAGTCTATCTATCAAATAATCAACCAGTCATTGATTTAATTTTTAATCACTCAATCAGTCATTCAAATAATATACCACCAATCAACCAATCAAATAACATGTCATCAATCAATCAGTCATTCAAATAATATATCACCAATCAGTCATTCAAATAATATATTACCAATCAATCAACCTTCAGAACCAACTAAATCCAATTAGTAACAAAGGGGAGAAATATAATATGAAAATAAACACTACGAAGACAGAGACAATAGTGCCAGGAAGACAGAAAGACAATTTAGAAATAAAACTAAAAAACGACACATTAAGACAAACAGATTATTTGGGTATTTGGAAGCAATTTTTACATCAGACGGAAAACTGGACAGAGAAATTAGCTCGAGATGAGCCAAAGCTAATCAGGTTATGGGGCAGCTATCTCCCCTGCTGACACACAAGCAGATAACCAGTAGTACTAAAGTGAATCGTGTCAGAACTATTTTTTGGCCAACACTATGCTATCAGTGCCAAATATGGACACTTTCATCCTCCAATGAACGTAAAATTGTGATAACAGAGATGAGATGCCTTAGAAGAGCTGCAGGAGTTTCAAGGGAAGACAGAATACAAAATAACAAAAATCAGACGAATGCTAGGAATAAAGCCAGTCTTACAGGTCATCAAATAACAACAAATGAAGTGGTTTGGACACCTAACAAGAACGCCATGGCACCTAACAAGAACGCCATGGTACTATCTGCCACAGTGAGCCACACTAAAACGTTACAACTGGTTTAGAGCGAGCGGAACACCTCGGAAAATTTAGTGATGGCATTAAAAACAGCCTTACAGAAATGAACAGCAGTCATAGCTCATCAACGAATGTTACAATCCCCCCCCCCCCCCCCACCCCAACCTCGAAACACCACCCCCCCCCCCCCCCGACACTGCGCCAAGGTTTAAGATGAAGAGGGAAGAAGAAGAATAAGAAGAATCAATCCAACCATCAATTTATGTAATCAGTCAGTTAGTCAATAATAAATCAGGAGGTCAATTAACGGATCCATCCATCAATCAATTAATTTATCAGCTTGTCATTCAGTCATTTGTTTAAAAACGCCGACGTCCCCCAGTGGCGTCTTAAAATAATCCATTCGGAATCTGCTATTGACTTTCAAATCATGCGAGGTCCAAGGCAAGTTTTCCACAATAATGGAAGCTAAATTAACCTGTTCCGTGGTATAATGATCTCAGTTTATAAAGTTTATTTTCCTTGACAAAATACAGTGTAGGTGTAATGGCAAATAGTGATCACATTTGGGGAAAAGGGGGGAGGGGGGAGAAAATAAACGATTTTCAAAATATATATAAGCAGTAATATATAAACAGTGGGTTAGCCCCAAATACTAGAGTCGGTCACTTTTCATTCACAAGTATGTTGGGTTTGTAAACTTACCTGAAGGTTACGGGTGTGTCCGGCTCTGTTTGCATTCTATTTTGTCTTGAATTTACGTTTTCATTCCAAGAAAGAGAACACCTGTGACATAGGTTAAGTACTCTCTTGGGAGGGAGGGAGTGTTAGGGTCAGATGCTCCATGTTTTTGGAGTGTTTAAAGCACTGGCGTGCTGAAGTATACAACATGCGGTATCAACCGCATTTAAGAACACCCCTCTGACCTTGTGCGAGGGTCACGGGGCTTAGGACCGACCAATCAGAAATGACCTGGTGTGTATATAGGCGTGGCATGGAAAGATTGACGTTACATGATCCTAACTGTGTATTAACTTTATTTTGATGAAAATGGTGACACGGTTCATAGAAGGGCGGGCAGGAAGAGAAATTTAGGGAGATTATTGTTTGAAAGGAGAGTCACCAATCCATGATAGCATCAGTAATCCTTGCTGGTGGTTCATATCGTAGCCTTTCACCACACGACCCTTGCCACAAGGTTGGGGTGGGGTGTGTGGGGGGGGGGGGGGTGGGGGTTGATATGACAGCCCATGACGATGACGAACCTGGCGTGAGTAGCAAGATCTGCTTACGTTAAATAAAATCTTCTACAATTGGAGCATGGGATTTCAGGAACATTGCCGCCATTATGGGTCGTAAATGCGTTCATCGGCGCCTGAACCTGGCAGGAGGGGGGAGGGGGTGTTAGGTATATAGAGCCCCTCCCCACCCGACCAACCGATCTTAATTTCTTGGTTTAGGGGTACTCAGAAAACTTAGCCTCCCCAATCTCCGCCTTCTCTATCCTTATTGAATTATTTGTTTAGAACAATTGTGGTCACACTCAGCAGTTAACAATTTAAATGTCTATATGTATATGTGTGTGTATGTGTGTGTGTTTGTGCCCGCCCAGGTGGTGATAACAGCGTAGGTTAGTGGGTGAAACTGGAGGAGGAGACCTAGGCTCTTTCTCTCAACACACACACACACAGACACACAGTTTTTTGCCTCTGGGGGAGGGGGAAGGGGTGCTAATCCCCCGCTTCCCCCCACCCTATTGTTTTCTCTGTTGTGGCGCGCGTGATGTGCTCCTTTTCAGACACTCAGCTATCAGCCTGTCTGCAATACGTTTACACTCTACCTCTTCGTGATTTTCCCTTCTACGCAACACGGTCCATTCTGTTCACGCCAATCTACCTCCATACCCGTATCATTCATGTCTCGCTTGCGCCCATCTCTTTATCGTAGTAGAAGTCGACCCCCCCCCCCCCCCCCCCCGCACACACACACCTTTTTCCTATCTATAATTCGCAATGCAGAGAATATACAAAGCAATAGATTGACCAAAGCATGGTTTTTGTTCTAACCTTAACCGGAAATCAAGAACTATAACCTATCGTTCACAGCTGACCACTCCATCCGTTCACCAGAAGATGCTTACTCCAGTAAGTCTCATTCGGCAGCATTTTTAAATGAAATCAACAACGAACTCCGCCAATGGAAGCACGGACTGGCCACCGCAGAGTGGAATTACAAAACCAACATCACCGACCACAACAAAGACGAGGTGAATATGGGCTTGTGTTTGCAAAAAAAAAAACTTTTTTAAAGAACTGTTATACAAACCATTATATGTAACAGATACCGTATTATTAATACTTAATCCTAGTATGTTTAGCTGAAATTATTATTTCTTTTAGTTTTGAAATATAATTGCAGGTTGTTGCTATTGTTCTCGAAACCTATCTGTTTTTCCTGACGAAAGAGTTATATTGTGCTAAATGGAGGCATGGGGCGCACAGCCCATGGTGATGGCGAGTGTGACTAGCAAGATCCACCGGCGTTAAGAACAGTTTTCCACAGTTATAACCTGGGATTTCAGGACCGTTGGTCCCATCAGATGTATCTAGTCAGCGTTTTATCAGACGCCCAGCTGCCATCCTTTCTTCAGTCATTTGTTCGGAGACTGGACAATATCGCACAAATGTTTCCCGCCTTCTTGTCTGACAAAAGGAAAAGGGCGCCTGAGCCGGTGGGAAGAGGAAGGGGGGAGGGGGGGTGGAGCCTCAGGTACATTGAGCCTTCTACCTCCAATAATTGTTTTCAGGTCGGACCTGAACTAAACCCTATGTGCTCTGAACATTAGCAATAGATTAGGGAGCTCCACAAGTGTGTAATATAGTTCTGTTTTTAAATATAAGTTAACGTCCCTATGTGGGTACTGGGGTCACATTGTCGTGGAGAAACCAGAACAGACCCATTACCTCCCAAACAAGCATGTCGTAGGAGTCAACTAACTGTGTAGCTTCCTTCGAAGATGGAGTGCTTCTGCCCGAACAGCAAAGAACAACAAACTGCACACTGATATGCCAGTAAAACGGATGTACACGCAAATCTCAGGCCCTGGCACAAAGCCAAAGTCCAGATGGACGAACAACCAGGACTTTCCGTCTAAGCTTACAGCCGATAAACAAAGAAGAAGAAAACGAGATATTTGTTAATGCCTTCAAATTATTCAAAATATATTTTTTTCTAGGGCCCTATTATAGGGGAAAACAAGAACAGACACACTGCCTACCCAAAAGCAGTAAGAGTCAAATAATTGGAAGCTTTCTTCGATGCGGAGTGCATCTATCAGAGAGGCAAGGAATCAGCCGTCTGCATGCAAATGAGTCAGATTTGTAAAACAGATGCACACCCAACACACAGGCTATGAAACAGAACTGCAGTCCAAAAGCGGATAAACAACAAGAACTACCCGCCTTAGTCTACGGCTGGTGAACGCTAAAAAAAAAAAAAAAAAGATATTGTTTTATTTATTATCCTCCTAGCACAAAACAATATTAATGATAATAATAGTAATTAATATTATTTTTTTTATCACTGTCCTCTTGTGCGATTATATGTCACATAGGACAGACAGTCTTCTATTTCATCCATTCCGTTCTACTGTGTGCAGTCAATTCAATATCATGGATGGAATCCAGGTTCTTTTCCGTGTTTCTTCCTGGCCTCCTAGCTTTCTCCATCTTGTTATTTCCCTTTGTAAAAATAATTATTATTGTTATTAATATTATTTGTGCGCACATAAGCTCTACCGAGGCCGTCTCCGCACTCATGTCCACCCCTAGAAAATATATGAGCTTATTACAACTACTACATTTTACTGTTGTTAGAAATGTGCTCATACTGAATATGGTGTTGATATTGATAATGTTTACTATTAAAAGATAAAAGTAAAGATCACTTTTCAAGCCTTAGGCGCATCGGGCATCAGGGAAGAGCATCCCATATTTTTAAAGACCAATCTGCACTAGGTGGGTGGATAATGTGGTCTGCATTACGCCACCCATCTTTACTTCCCCAGGATAGCCATCCTGGTACCCAATTTTAGACTGGGTTGACCTGCGACGCCCCATACCATTATAAAAATCCACAAAGCCAGCAGTGGGTTTCGATCGCGGTACGTTGGAATTACCAGTCGGACTCGCAACGCCTAAGCGATAGACGCTGGTTTGTTTAATATTACTTAATGTATAAATCTAATGGTGTCTGAAATGACAGATACTAGAAAAGTAGAATGTTAGACAAGCCTGCGTGCCTTATTCTTAACCTTTAGAAAATAATGTTTGTTCGTACGTTCGTTCGTTCTCTAATGTTTCCTTTGTTTCGGCGCCAGCGAATACAACATATCGGTTACAGTCTGTCAGCCTCATTACGAAAGACAGGAATGTGACGCAATGTAAAATAGAAAGGTAAAACCGAGGGAAATTAAATACTTGCACAATTTATGTTGACAGTTCACGAACGTGGCCACACGATACGAAATCTGGAGGCTTCGACAAATGAAAGAAGCAAGGCGGTTCAACATAGATGTTCTGCCAGAAGATTTGAGTAGCAAATTTCCTTGTTCAAATTGTCTGCGATCTCCAGTGATGCCGGAGTCAGTCAGTGAGTCTGCATACTGTGTGTGTGGCCCTATTACCCTGTCGTATAGTATAGTCAATCAATCAGCAAGTGCAGCCAATGTTTTAATTTAGTTTAATAGATCATTCAGTAAGTGCAGTCATTGTTTTTAATTCAGTTTAGCCAATAGACCAGTAAATACGGTCTATATTTTAATATAGTTTGTTCAGTCAATTTATAAACTCAGCAAATGTTTAAATTAAGTATAGTCTATTAACTATTATGTGCGGCCAATGTTTCAATTTAGTATAGTCAATAAATATTTAGACTGCGAATACTGGAAGGCCACCAAAAAAAAAAAAAAAAACGTGAAAAAGAGAGCTGGAAAATGAAGTTTGAAAGATGGGGAGGACATGGGGAGAGCTCCATGCAATGGCGAAGGATAGAACGACTTGGCGTGAGTTGGTTGAGGGCCTATGCTCCATTGGGGAATAGAAAGGCAGAATAAGAAGAAGATTTAATTATTAAGTGCAGCCAATGTTTCAGTTTAGTAAAGTCAGTTAACAAGTACTTTATTAAGTACGTTCTTCTTCTAACTCAAGTCTGAGTCTGACGAAGCTCATCACAGCTCACAGGCTCTATAGCACCGGCGAGGATCCTGAAATACTTTGTGTAGATTTTTAACTCTATTTTCGATTTCCAAGGGATTTTTTACGTGCGCAAAAATGCACACGGGGGTCCGATTTCACTACCCAAAGAAGGGGGAAATTACTAGAGGTCTAAGTCCAAGTGAAAAAATCCCAGCCCTTACCGGGGATTAAACCCCAAGCACTCGAAATGGACACCATGCTTCGAGACCACGCAGCCTCCAATTTGGTAGTCGATCAACCTGCCGCCAATGTTTTAATTTGGTATAATCAATCAACCAGTATGTACAGTAATTATTTGAATATATTATGGTCAGTCCACTTTTAAGTAGTCACTTTTTAAATATAATATAGTAAATCAACCAGCAAGCGTGTTAGTTCTTTAATATATAATAATAAATCGACAATCAAGTGCAGTGAATGTTTTATTTTAGTATAGTCAATCAGCTAGTAATTACAATCAATTGTTTTAATTTAGTATAGTCAATCATTGTGCATAATCTTGTTACATATTACGTTTAATCTTTTTTATATCAAGACGCAGATCTCAGCTACAACAGATAATGGAAGGTAGTTACGGGACTGGACAGGCGTGTTTGACAAATGGCACCTGTTTGGCATTGGAACCGGAAGTGACGCATATAATGTCCAACTCACGTGACCCAGAACTCCTGAAGGAAGTGTGGCTTCAGTGGAGGAACGGAGTTGGGCCCTCCATGAAGAAACATTACGTTGAATTTATCAGCTTGCTCAACATTGGCGCTGTTGAAAATGGTAAATTTCGTCTTTATTGCATTTACTTAACCCCTTCAGTACAGAGACGCTTAACTTGACTGGGACATCTCTTCCTCATAATGGATGGTCGTATTCCAAACGAACTACTGTAGAGTGAACTGGAAATAGATCGGGGAGGGGAAGCGGTCTGCAGGAAGTTAGGGAAATGTCCGAGAGCAAAGAATGTTGAATATTGAAATAGGAATCGACCTCACAACAATCAGGACATTCCCATAACCGGTCCGTCTGTATCTTCAGCAGCAAGGGCAGAGTTCTTATTCTGGGGATACTAGTTTTTGTTCGTCCATTACTGATAATGATGATGACCAGTCCCTTCATCCACTGGCAGCTGGGTTAGGTTTTGTGAGTGCGCAGATGGCTGATAAGGCCAATTCTAGCACTGAAAGTTTTTCAACAGTTGGGACAGGAGACTGAGGCAGCATCTCTCTGGTGATTTGCTTGAGTGTGTTTCCTGGCTTGTCTTGTCTGAATTGATGATACCAGTTACAATCTGATTATATATCCATCTCACATTTCCCTTGAGAGGTTTCGTGATGTAGTAGCTAGATGCTTGCCTACAAATCCTAATGTCGTGGGTTCAAGTCATGACAGAGCAGGACTTGTTTGAAATATGATATTAGCTGCCAGGTCAATCCAACGTTAAAATAGATAACTTGTAAAGTCCTGGGAAGTAAAGGTGGCCTAATGTTGATCTTATCCCCCGTAGGGTGCTGATTGCTCTATAAAATATAAGTCTAGGGCTGTATGCCCAATAGCCTAAATGCGTGGAAAAGGAATCTTTTCAGGTGAGTGGTGAAGATTTAAACTCAAGACTTTGGTGTCTGAAAGCGAGCGTCTTGTCTCTATGCTAGCTCTTCTCTCTGTATTGCTATTGTATCATCATCATCATCATCATAAAGTAGGTACTTTGCAGAACGCCGCTCTCATCACGTTCTGCCTGAAAGAAACGCGATTCCGCGACAGCTATCTGCACTTTCATTCCCAAGGAGTTACTTACATCAAATACCCATCTTCGTGCTAGTCCGTCCCTGCCCCTCCTTTCTGGTACCGTACCTGCTGCTACTATTTGTTCCAATCCGCTGTGGCGCTTGAGATGACCAAAATATGTCAGCTTCAGAGGCAAGATGCTGTTTACCAGCAAGTCTTCCTTGATGCTCACTTCCTTTCTTTCTTCTTAAAGTCTATGCCGTGTGCATTGGTAGTCGTGTCTATGCACAACCTTCTGTCTCGTGTACTCTCAGTCAACCCTGACACAGATGATCTTCCACGCCGTGTGCATTGGTAGTCGTGTCTATGCACAACCTTCTGCCTCGTGTACTCTCAGCCAACTCTGACACAGATGATCTTCCACACCGTGTGCATTGGTAGTCGTGTCTATGCACAACCTTCTGCCTCGTGTACTCTCAGTCAACCCTGACACAGATGATCTTCCACGCCATGATGTCTAACTGTCCAGCATCAATTCTCTCCAACTGTCACGATGTACTCCAGTTTTCTCCTTCTCGTGATATGACCAAAGAATGTAGACATGTCTCTTTCTGATGTGGGCAATCAGTTCTCATCATGAGTCAGTTTCTTTGCAAACATCTTCATCACACGTTTTATCTGTCCAGGGTATTCTCATCCTCCATCTATAAAACCACATCTCTATAGCTTCCAAAATGTTTTTCACCAATCTACCAACTTTCCACGATTCACTTCCATAGTTCAATACGTGATTTTTATATCTTTCAAGAATTCTGTTTTTCGTCTCAATTGAGAAAGACATGTTACATAAAATATTCTTAATTTTAGGATGTTAAGTATTTCTATTCTTCTTTTTACCAGGCTTTCTTAAAATATTTCTACAGCATTTCAGCTTAAAAGCATGGAGTAGTTTTTTCTTAGCTGTGCCAAAAACCTTTATAACGTATTTGTCCTTAAGAGGCCAGAAGACAAGTTGTGAAGCTGTTTACAGCTAGGCTGTGATATCCGTATTTCGGCCCAACGCACCCGGTATCAGCAAATCCTTAATTAATCGTCGTTCTGCAGAATTTTGTGTGTGTGTTCTGTTAGTTAGTGTGTGTGTTATAGTTCCCCCCACCCCCCACCCCACCCGATGGCGTCACAGGACAGTGCAACATTTTAGAGGGAGATAAAACTGTGTTTCCCAGCTTTCTGATGCTTTTAAACATCTAGAACTGGCCTTAAACCCAACCCACCTACGTCGCACGAGAGAGTGCAGACTAGGTCCAACGATTGCATGCAGCCTATCTACAACACCCCCCCCCTAAAATATTAGAATGTCCCGTGACCTATGGTTTTCCCCTCTTTGGGGTAGGATATTAATAAAACGTATTGTTACTTTTTTTTTAAACGATGACGGATAACAGAAGCTGGCGGTTAATGGCAGTTTTACTGTAATTAAGAAATTAAAAGTACAAATACTGAACGAATGTTTCAAACTTGAAAATGTTGGCGATAATTTTACTTTGTTTGAAAGGATTTTCCGACTACAGCCAGTTTTGGAAGCAAGATCTGTTCTACAATACTCCAGAACTGGACAGAATGCTCCAGAAGCTGTGGACTAGCGTCCGACCCTTGTACCTGCAGCTACACGCTTACGTTCGCAGGAAGCTGACGGAGTACTATGGCAGGAACATTGTTGGAGATGATGGTTCCATTCCAGCTCATCTGTTGGGTATGTCCTTAATTTTCTTTTGTCAGTCAATCATTTATTTATCTGCGACCACTTTCAGCTAAGGAACAGAAGACACTGATGTCCTTTTCAGTGTCCGCTATATTCGTGTTGACGTTTCTTGTCTTTTTCTCGTCTAGTTTTGAATTTTTATTTCATGATTTTGTCGCTCGGTGTTCGTTGTTGTTTCTTGTCGATTGACTGTTTTCGTATCTGGCTGACCTAGCGCTGCGCTCCGGGTCGTTAGGTTGGCTGCTCTACTCTCTTGTCAGTTCCAGGGCCCTATAAGACTGTAGGAGGGAGGATCAGAACACAGGTACCCTAACAAGCACGTCTTGAAAAGCGACTACTTAAGGACTCTGCTGAGGCATTTTATAAAAATTTATTCAAGTCACAAACCAAGAAACTCTAGGCAGTATGATAACCAAGAGAAGATGGAAATAGCTTGGCCACGCTATGAGAATGTATCCTGATATACCTGCCAAAACAGCTCTCACATGGATACTAGAGGGAAGGAGAAAGAAGGGGCGCCTAAAAACAACATGTAGACGAACGATGGAAAGTGACATGATTGCGGCCTCTCTCTGACATAGAAAACTGCACTGAAGTTTGCACAGGACAGGAAAGCATGGACAGTCCTCTCTGAAGCCTCTAGTGCCACTGGGAATAAAGAGAACTGATCTTTGATGGTTTAGGCATTTTATAGTGTACTCCCCGAGTTTTGTTGAGAAAAATGGAGACATGTATGCTCCGTGCAGACTGGGAAAAGCATCACTTCAGAGGTCTCTTGTAGTTTCTGATATTTTCTCCACGGAATGGAAGTGCTGGAAACTAACAGGCAGATACACTGGCTGGCTCTGCACCCCTTGATGATAAATGGACTCAGGTCAAGCTAGATGTTATAAAGGCCCTTTAGGAGCGACGCTGAACAGTGCAGAGGCACAAATAGATCATCATGATATCAAGATAAGGTTCGGCAGGGGAATTTAGTCGACGCTCAATACTCAGGAGACAGGCGAGACGGACACACATTCAGACTTTTTAATGATGCCATCAGACGTTTGCTTCTGAACATTGGAAATACCACATAGCACTTTATTAAATGTCCCGAATGCTACAATGCCGATTCCAAACTGACTCACAGAACATGTTTAGAAAGGTGGAAACAGGCCTGCTCCGTGCAGGTTGGCAAGCATCACTTCAAAGGTACCGGGTATTCAGAATCCTTTGGATTTTTTTTCTGCAGGTGATTCCATTGTGTTAGGAAATGAGCAGGCAGATAGACTGGCCGGTTCTGCACAACTTGGTGGTGAACTGATGTATGATAATCTGGATGTTGTGAGGGCCTTTTGGAAGCGAAGTGAACAGTACCGATGAACAGATAAATCATTACGGTATGAGGAGAATGGCACTGCGAGAAGTTGGGGATCTGACCGACGCTCGACATTCAGGGGAAAGGCGAGACGGATAAACAATCATACAGTTACTGGTACCCATCCGAATTTTATCTCTTCGCTTGCTGCTGAAGATGGGGACGGAGCGCTTACGGGCGGTGTCCCGAGTGATGTGCATGATGTTGATTCCTAATTCAACATTCCAAAACTTTTCATCTTATCTCATCTTTCTTGTAGCGTTTATCACTGTCTCAAAGAGACTTTTGTCAAGTTATAACAGTTTCTTTACATTTTAAATATTTTTCTTTCTCTCAAAGGCAACATGTGGGCACAGCATTGGTCTAACATCATAGACATCGTCATCCCGTTCCCAGAAGTCAGCAGAGAAGACCAGATCGAAGCTCGGCTGAAGACCCATGTGGACGTCCGAGGAATGTTCAACATGGCCGAAAGATTTTACAAGTCCATAGGGTTCCACCGCATGACGCCAACGTTCTGGAAGAAGTCCATGCTGGAGAAGCCGAAAGGGGACAATGTTTTATGTCAAGCTTCATCATTTGACATGTTTTATCCTGGGGATTATAGGTAATTGAGAGGTTTTTATACTCTTTAGTAAAATGTTAACGTTCAGTGTTGTTGTTGTCTGCGTCTGTAGCTAAGGCGATGCAAACGCGCTTCGTAATGCCGGAGAGCCGGGTTCGATCCCACCTGTTGAAGATTTGTCTTGCGTTGGTTTCGACAATGGTCCCGATAGCTGACTGTTCACTTAACAATGGCAAACTACTGAACGTAGAATGTGCTTAGAAAAAAACAACAACGATTAAAATATGCTGGCGTTGATTCTGCAACGTCATGTAAAAGATCGGCAACTAACTTAAGGATGTTGTTGAAAAAAAATTAATCAATTTAAATGACTATTTCCACGCCCCTGGTGCACCGGGAATATATTCCTGAACATATATCATTTTAACAGACCTCAACAGGTGCTGTGGTAAGCATTGCACTGGTCGCGTTTACCTCCTAAGAGTTTACCTAGTACCTATTATAGGCTGGGTTAACGTGAGAGTCAAGGTCTTTTTTTAGAAAATGACCATTTCCACGCCCCTGGTGCACCGGGAAGATATTCCTGAACATATATTATTTTAACAGACCTCAACAGGTGCTGTGGTAAGCATTGCACTGGTCGCGTTTACCTCCTAAGAGTTTACCTAGTACCTATTATAGGCTGGGTTAACGTGAGAGTCAAGGTCTTTTTTAGAAAAAGACATAAAGATCAGACTGCATGCAGATTTGAACTCAAGACTTTCTTTCATAAGGCGACTGTCTAACCACTACACGACAGTGGCTCACAATGAACAACAAAACTGAGTCCCACATTAGGACGCACGCTTACTTTGCTCATTAATTTTTTTCGTCTTTTATGAGTTAAAAAAAAATAGTCGTAGGGCTCTTCTAAAAAATGTGTAATGTTTCCATAATATGCACACACAAAATAATTACATATGTATCTTCTTGCATTATTCTGTTGAAAAAAAAACAAAAAAAAAAAAAAAAAAAACACGACTGGTATTCAACTTCCTACAGCGTGGGAATCGCCGTGGTGAAGCGGCTAGAGGCTCACATATGGATATGAGAGTCGCGGATTCAAATCCTAACGGAGTCGATTTTTGTTGGCGTTGATTCCCAGGCCGTATGGCCCAGCGTTAAATGAGTACCGGGTAAAGTCCTGGGAAATAAAGGCGGGTGACGTGAGGTTGACCTCATCACCCACCAAGTGCCGATTGGTCTGTAACATAGAAAGGTCCAACTTTGTATGCCCAATACGACACATGGCTTGGAAAATTGTCCTTTTCTTTCATAGTATGCAGTTACATGACTGGCACCTTTGCATCTTTCCAGACCATAGTGCTATATTGCGATATGAGGAGGCATAGGGTCATAGCCTATGGCGATGGCGAGTGTGACTAGGAAGACCCGCCTGCGTTGAAAAAAGGCTTCCACAAATATAGCATAGGATTTCAGGAACATTGTTGTCAACATTAGTGTCATTAGTCAACATTAACTACATTAGGTCCTATGAGGTCCTTTTCTTCTCAGACGCTCAGTACTCATCTTCTCTACAGTCATTTCCTCTTTTATCCTCATTCCCTTCTGATGTCTCTTCCCCCCCCCCCCCCCCCACCCACACCTAAAACCTGTCCTTGGCATATTATTCAAACAGAGTCCATCTGATCATGTAATCATTCATGTCCCGCTTGCAGACATCTTTATATCGTAGTATACGACTTTCTGCAGAATCAAAATGTGCTCCGATGTGACCTACGCTAACTTCAAAACCGTACACCATGAAATGGGCCACATCGAATACTTCATGACTTACGCAGACCAACCGACGATCTTCCGAGAAGGCGCCAATGCCGCCTTCCAGGAGGCTGTTGGTGATACCATAGGCCTTTCCGTGATGTCTGCGACCCATCTGAAAGCGCTTGGCTTCGTGGAGAGTGATGAGAACTGCTTGTCCCGGGAGTCGCTGCGGATTTTACGACAGAGTAAGTCTTGTATCTAGCAATATGATGGTTCTGTTTGAATTGGATGTGTTGTTCGTCAGTCAGGAGTGAGGAAGACCACTTTTTGTCCAGAGTAGTAAGTGGAGGCAAGTGACTTGTGCAGGGACTTGGATTTAAGTGAGAAAGAGTTGCGCAGTTCATTGACCTCACTGTTTCCCCTATGTACACCTTGATCCAATGGCAGGACAAGGTCAAGGCGACTGGAAATGGACCTAGGTGCAATGGATGACCAAGGCCTCCTAAGTGCCCTACCTTACGCAAAGCTCTCCTCAGAGCCTGTTGGTAATCACCTTCTTGTCAGTTTAATCATAAGAGGTTTCATCCGCACAATCCGCCGAGTCCAGTCTTTGCATGCAGGGTAGGCATGTCCCAATCACCGAATGGTTTAGAACCAGGTCGGCTACCCTCTCCTGGTTTAGCCAGCCCGACAAACATGTTGCCCTGGGGGTGGCTGCTGTCGCATGCTGATAGCTGCTTGGAGCACAGGAGAGAGCTGAGTGCCAGACCTAGCCCAGTGGTGGTGAGCCGCCCAAAGAACGACACAATTAATTAGATGCACTTCTTTTTCTTCTTCTTCTTCTGTTTCGTATGCTCAGACCATCAGGTGGGTTGCCTCTATGAAGAAGAAGAAAAAGATGCACGTCTTCTTTGAGCTGAATCTGTGTCAGATATGACCTCGACTCCCAGGTCAACCAACTCTTAAATTTTGGCACCAGATAAAATCCTGGAAAGTAAAAGCGACCGGTGCAACGTTGACAACATTGGCCACCGAGTGTCAATTGAATTATAAAATACTGGTCTAGCACTTTATGCCCAAAACGCTCCAAAGCGTAGGAAAGGGTGCATTACTTTACTTTACACATAAGCAGTGTGCCTTATTGAAAAAAAAAAAAAAAAAAAAAAAAAAAAAAAACTCCTCATTTGCACGATATGAGGTGACAGCACTAATCATGCCGCCAAAGATTCTCATGCTTCAAGATCCCCCCCCCCCCCCGCCCCCCAATCCTTGCCGACATCGCAAAAGGAGAGAATGCAAACAGTAATGGCAATGGTTGAATCGTAACTAAATAGAGGGTGTTTGTAAAGTTCCACTACACCTTGTATGTAGAACAAATGAGAGAAAACGAAATATATAATATCACAAACAAATGTACTTCACAATCAGTCGCGAAGCAACATGCAATGAATGTCCGTAGTCAGCTGGAAAAAAAATCTTTGCACTCAAAGCAGATAAGTTTTATCAATGGAAGCAGTCAGAATTACCATTCAGAAAATTACAACCTTCCCGTTGCAGAACGTATTTGACAGTATGAAGAGGCGTGTGCAGTTATGTCTTGAAACCCACGGCGGACATTCCCAAGCTGGGGTTGGTTCTGCAACGTCCTGCAAAGGATACACAACTAACTTTCTTCCTAAGTAAGCTTGTGTTAAAGAAGTTTCTCTAAAATCATTTATTCTGTTTGATCTCGCAAACAGAAGCCACAATAAACAGTCTTCTACACATGGCTTTGGAAAAGATTGCCTTTCTTCCATTTGGAATCTTAGTGGATACGTGGAGATGGGGCGTCATGCAGGGCGCTATAACCCCCGAAAATTACAACCGGAAATGGTGGGAACTGAGGTAATTAGAAATGATGGTCTCTCTGTCTGCTGTACTGTATGTCTGTCTATCCTCATTTTGTTTGTTAATAATAAACCTTTTAACGTGTGTTTTTGTCACAGTACTCGGGTTCTTTGTTAAGTATTGTCTGTGTTTGTCAATTATAAAAGCTAGATTTTCAAGAATTGTTTATCTCTGTCAAATATTGTTGCAGTGCTTCAAGTGTTGCATCTGGCAATCAAATATTGTGTCTGGCACTCAAGTATTATTACTCGACCGTGATTTTACAGGCGACCATCAACACTCTGTGACTGTGGTGTAGACGACATCAGACTGTACCCGATATTTTGTTTGCCATTGGTGAAAACGAAGGGGGAAAACAAATCAAGAAGAAGACAAATGTACATTTACTTGAATGGTTTGCTGAATTACATTACAGAAAAAACATTCAAGCTGATAAAAGAAAGAACAAATTTCAAAACAAACCGGGACAGAAACAAACAGCCATGCATACAGAAATTACACGAAAGAAATCAGGCGAGCTTTTAATGGAACTTTAAAAAAAATGCTGAAATGATATAGACAGATTCTCAGAACACCATGGAAAAAGAAGAGAATAAATACTGATATTTTCATAAAATCTGAACATCAAGGAAAGTTCGCGTTTAAACAGCATCTTGTCTCAGAAACTGAAATATTTTGGTCATATCAAGCGCCATGGCGGAATAGAGAAAATGACTTCCGTTCAAAATGGACGCCTGTGGTCACTGTTTCGCGTCGAAGCAAATGTTTTTGCTTCTGCCAGACGGTGGCCGTTGCATTTTTGATCCATTTGTAGACTGAAAGGATACAGTTTCGTCACGCCAGTTACTGAGCTGAGTGCATGGCGCGACCCTGCGAGCTGCGGATTTCATTTGGAATGTTTTTCGACTGCGACCAACGTTGCGTTGTGAAATGTAGATTCAGAAAATGACGCGTGGCCTGTCGCGTGATATTGGTGGTGCCCTTATGTGATTAATATTGATCACGTGTGCAACTGCTGATCTGTTGGTAACTTCTGCTACTGTCGATGATGAACAGCACTTCTAATGTCAAACTGTTTGTATTAGCACTTCCGATGGCTACCGTATGCTTTTAATGCGTGTGTATGCTAGTGCATATGCTGAGACAGTAGTCTGTCAATCTTTCCAAAAGGGACTGTGATAAACATTCTGTTGTTTTTCGTTGGCACAGGAGCGGATCAACTATGGGGGAACTCGTTTGCTATGAAGCTGAAACTAAGATTACCAAGAGAAAATAATAGCAGAAGACATGGTACCAGGAAGGAGGGGCAGGGGCCGACCAACACGAAGATGGGCGCAGGATATAAGTGACTTCCTGAATATGAAAGTAGTCGAGGAGGGAGAGCTGGTGAGGGATGGAGATACTTTCTGACAGACCCAGATGAGAGCGAGGTTCTGCTAAGGACCTGCTACATGATGATAATGGTTTTTTGACTAATTTGGCTTGTTTTTCCCAACTCTGTGGTGTACTAATGGACGACTAGATATATGTGGTCATTGCTCTACGCGACCAAGTGTACAATGGGAAAAAAAGAAAGTTATTTCTATTGTCTGGAGAAAGTAGTGATGTGGGAGTGACAAGGGCTCATAGTCAACACGCAGAGAAAAGCAAGACATAATTAGAACTCTCGGATGGCTGCTGAAGATGTGGACACAGCGCTTATCGGAACGTCCCTAATGTTGTGACGACGGTTAGTAACTTATTCGAAACTATTAAATGTAATAATCGATAAACTGATTCCATGAATCCTAATAAACGTTTCGTTTCCATAAACAATTTTATACTTTAATAACTTCCTATTGTGAAAACCAATATTGATTTGTAGAGAGAGAACAATGTTAAACAATTTATTACCTAGCTAGCATTAGCAGCTGAAGTCAAGAAAAACTCTGTTGTTATTTCTTGAAGATCGATGATTCCAGATATTAGTTGTCATTACAAAATATTTTCGGCCGTCTATAAAATAAAAATTACCCACAGTGAAAACGCTGCTTTTTTTGGGGGAATTGGACGAACATGTATCTTCCACGGTGCCATTCTCAGGCTACTTTCCGAAGATAACTTCCTTCCCGGAAATTGAATCGCAGGACTTCTTCTTCTTCTTTATTTCTAGCTCCTAATGGAGTATAGGTCCTTAACACACTCACGCCAGGTCGTTTTATTTTTTGCTGTTGCATGCAACTCTGCCCTTGTCTCTACCTGTGTAACTTCATTCTCTAGCTCCCATTTCCATGTGTGTGTGTGTTTTTTTTTTTTTTTTTCTTCATTTTTAAAATACCCCTTTGCGTTCCAGTGCAAAGACATTCTGGTTAAATTATTATTATTTTCTTAACGTGGGTCCTATCCACCGCCAACATCTTTTCTTTAGTTCTCTCACAAATCGCTAGTACTCGAGGATTATGCAGTTGTTAAACGCTCTCACTTACATCTAATCCGAAAAGCAGCACTTGGTTTTGATAATCCTTCCCTTACCGAAGATGGAGCCAAGCATGAAAAGCACAACGGACGAACGCGAAGTCTTGTTTACCAACATAGTACTGGCACTACTAATCGCGCGATGCTGATGAATATGTTGAGAGGAGAATCTGAGCGCCTATGGATGTGTCCGGAGTGCTGTGAAGATAAACTTACTCATAACTTTTTCTTTTCTTCTGGAAGACAGATCGGCACTAAACGAGATTACAAGTGTCTGTATTTCTTCTTTATAAATCGGTCCTATGTGACGATACTTATGTCCCCCATCAGTCAGCCAGTCAGTCAGTTCTCGTTATGCCTAGTGGCACATGAGGCTTCAGAGAGGACTTCCCATGCTTTCCTGTCCTGCGCAATCTTCAGTGCAGTTTTCAATGTCAGAGATGCCGCACTCAGGTCACTTTCCATCCTTCGTCTCAATGTTTTGGACGCCCCTTTTTCTCTTTCCCTCTGGTATCCGTGTGAAAGCTGTTTTGGCAGTTATATCAGGCTTCATTCTCATAACGTGACCAAGCCATTTCCATCTTTTCTTGGTTATCATACTGTCTGGAATTTCTTGATTTGTGACGGGAAGCAGTTTAGCGTCTGAGATTGTATCTGACCTGAAAATTTTGATAATTCTACGTAGACATTTGTGGTGAAGGTGAACAGCTTCTGGGCATCCTATTTAGTAATTCTGTAGCATTCTGATAGAATAAGAAGAAATGATGCTGTTGTAGAGTCGGAGTTTCATTCCTCTGCAGTAACTGTTAGATTTCCAAATTTGAATCATCGTTCCAAAAGCAGCTCTAGCTTTGTTTAGGCGTGACTGTATGTCTTCCTCTGTCCCTCCCAGTAGGGACACCACACCGCCAAGATGTGTGAAATGTCCTGCATATTTCTCACTAAATATATGCCTTTTTTTTTCAGACTGCAGTTCCAAGGAATTAGAGCTCCAGTGCCTCGCTCAGAAAATGACTTTGACCCCGGTGCAAAATATCACATACCTGCAAACTCCAATTACATTAGGTAAATATCACATCTGTGAACCTTGTATGCCACAGCGAAATATCACATACCTGCAAACTCCAACTTCATTAGGTAAATATCACAACTGTGAACCTTGTATGCCACAGCGAGATATCACATACCTGCAACTCCAACTACATTAGGTAAATATCACAACTGTGAACCTTGTATGCCACAGCGAAATATCACATACCTCCAAACTCCAAATATTTTTTTAAAATATCACAACCGTGAACCTTGTATGCCACAGCGAAATATCACATGCTTGAACATTATGACTACATAAGGTAAATATCACGTTGCACCTTATAACTTCAAAAGATCACATTTCAGCGCATACTAAAACCTACAAAAGGTAAATATCATTGTTAAGGACATTACAACGTCAAAATATCACATTTCTTCTTCATCTTCTTCTTCTTCTTCTTCTTCTTCTTCTTCTTCTTCTTCTTCTTCTTCTTCTTCTTCTTCTTCTTCTTCTTCTTCTTCTTCTTCTTCTTCTTCTTCTTCTTCTTCTTCTTCTTCTTCTTCTTCTTCTTCTTCTTCTTCTTCTTCTTCTTCTTCTTCTTCTTCTTCTTCTTCTTCTTCTTCTTCTTCTTCTTCTTCTTCTTCTTCTTCTTCTTCTTCTTCTTCTTCTTCTTTCTTCTTGTTCTTTCTTCTTTTTCTTCTTTTCTTCTTTTGTCTTCTTCTTCTTCTTCTTCTTCTTCTCTTCTTCTTCTTCTGTCTTCTTCTTCTTCTTCTTCTTCTTCTTCTTTCTTCTTCTTCTTCTTCTTCTTCTTCTTCTTCTTCTTCTTCTTCTTCTTCTTCTTCTTCTTCTTCTTCTTCTTCTTCTTCTTCTTCTTCTTCTTCTTCTTCTTTGGTTCTTCTTCTTCTTCTTCTTCTTCTTCTTCTTCTTCTTCTTCTTCTTCTTCTTCTTCTTCTTCTTCTTCTTCTTCTTCTTCTTCTTCTTCTTCTTCTTCTTCTTCTTCTTCTTCTTCTTCTTCTTCTTCTTCTTCTTCTTCTTCTTCTTCTTCTTCTTCTTTTCATTATGATTATAATAATAATAATAATTTTTTTATTATTATTACTATTATTATTATTATTTTCGTTCAAGTGACGTAGTTGCGTTGTGCCTGTTTACAACAAACCTCTTACATTTGAGCCATTTGGCCGTCACATCCGAGGACAGTGAGCACTGGCTGACTGGGTTAACTTCCCGGGGAAGTTCATTCAAGCAGCTGATCTAAAAATAACCTTGCTCTCTTCCACTTTCCCAGCCCTATGTTGTTTTATATCTAAAAAGTCGTAATGTCTTGTATACATCTTCACAGAGGTCGACCTCTGCCTAGTTTAGCTAAAGCTGCACTCTCCATCACCACTCTCTCCATGCCACCATTACATTAGGTAACTTTCTCGCTGGCACCGTTCCGTCTTTCCAGACGATACTGTTATAGAGTGCTGTCACTTCCCATACGAAACCAAAGGAAGCAAGGGAAGAAACTCCAAAGCGCACATATGAGGCAGTAATGCAGAGACCATGTTTTGGCCAAGCAGCATGTTCACTTTATCGCAGTAGTAGTCTCTCGTATGGGTTCTGAGGCTCAATTAGGAGTGCGGGTGGGGAAATACGGCCCGCAAAATAAGCATGCCGTGAAAGGCGACTAATTAGGTGTGTTTTCTTCAAAATCGGAGTGTATTTGCCCTACCAACGAGAAGCCAAAACTCTGCACACACACACACCCACACACTAACACCTACACACACACACACTCACACCCACCTACATCCAAACCCACGCACACCCACAAACACCAAACACACACACCCACTCACACCCACGCACACGCCACACACACACATACCCACCCAAACCCACCAACATACACACACACACAAGTCGGCGAGTTCTGAAGAACGGATGTGCACGCAACACTCAAGTTCTAGAAGAAGACCATGGTCCAGCAGCACACGATTAAAAAAAAAAAAAAAAGAACTTGTGGCCTGAGTTTACAGTCCGTCAACGCTAAGACGAAGAAGCAGCAGCTGTTGTATCAGCAACAGCAGCAGTAGTAGTATTAGTAGCAGTAACAATATTAGCAGCAGCAGTAGTATTAGCAACAGCAGCAGTAGTAGTATTAGCAGCAGTAGTAGTATTAGCAGCAGCAGTAGTATTAGCAACAGCAGCAGTAGTAGTATTAGTAGCAGTAATAATATTAGCAGCAGCAGTAGTATTAGCAACAGCAGCAGTAGTAGTATTAGTAGCAGTAATAATATTAGCAGCAGCAGTAGTATTAGCAACAGCAGCAGTAGTAGTATTAGTAGCAGTAATAATATTAGCAACAACAGCAGTAGTAGTATTAGTAGCAGTAATAATATTAGCAACAGCAGCAGTAGTAGTATTAGCAGCAGTAATAATATTAGCAGCAGCAGTAGTATTAGCGGCAGCAGCAGCAGTAGTATTAGCGGCAGCAGCAGCAGTAGTAATATTAGCAGCAGCAGCAGTAGTATTAGCGGCAGCAGTAGTAGTATTAGCAGCAGCAGCAGTACTTTTAGCGGCAGCAGCAGAAGTAATAGTATTAGCAGCACCAGCTGTGTTATTAGCAACGGCAGCAATAGTATTAGCAGCAGCAGCAACTGAAGAATTAGCGACAGCAACAGCAGCAATAGTATTAGCAGCAGCTGCTGCAGAATTGTAGACAGCAACAACAGCAATAGTATTAGCAGCAGCAGCACCAATTGTAGCAGCAGTAGTAGTAGTAGTGAAATAACTTTTGTATTATTGTAAAAATCATCTGGTAGCCTTGGTACGTAACGATTGTATGCCCCAACTGATGGCCCAATGATCTTTGGTTGAAATCGCTTTGAATCGGAATGTGTTTTCTTCCCTTATCGACCTTGGCATTCTAAACCGACCCAGCCTAAAATGGGGAAGAGATATTGTCTTGGAGAGTAGAGGCACACGGAGTGATTCTGACCACATTAACCAATAAGTGCTGATTGACTTAAAATATATGAATACCACCATGTAAGATACGTCACTGGGGTAGAAAGGACTCTTTACTTTCTTCTTTACTTTGTCATATACCACTTCGGGTGTTGAGAAAGATATACAGTTCTACTTCTTGCCGTTTGGCCGCCTCGACCATTGACACATCGCGCTGTTGTAAAGGGTTCTGGTATGTATAGGGTTCTGGTATGTATAGGGTGCTGGTATGTATAGGTTTCTGGTATGTATAGGGTTCTGGTATGTATAAGGTTCTGGTATGTATAGGGTGCTCGTATGTATAGGGTTCTGGTATGTAAAGGGTTCTGGTATGTATAGGGTGCTGGTATGTATAGGGTTCTGGTTTGCATGGGGTGCTGGTATGTATAGGGTTCTGGTATGTATAGGGTTCTGGTATGTATAGGGTTCTGGTATATATAGGGTTCTGGTATGTATAGGGTTCTGGTATGTACAGGGTTCTGGTATGTATAGGGTTCTAGTGTATATGGTTCTGGTGTATCTGTATGTTTAGGCACTTGTGGTATAGGGCAGGAAATGAATATGATATGTATAATATGTTTCTGTGTGCAGCTTTGAATTCCCTTGTACGTTACTCTTCTAATGTAACTATATCCACAGTTACTTTGTCAGCTACATCCAACAGTTTCAGATGTACAAGAGCATGTGTCAGCTCAGCTCCTTCAGAGGGCCCCTGCACGAGTGTGACTTCTATGGGTCAAAAACTGCCGGCAACAAGCTCAGGTACTGTTGGATACGTTCAGGGGAGCGAGAGGGCGCCAGGTTTCTGTGTGCGTGTGTGTGTGCGTGTGTGTGTGTGTGTGTGTGTGTGCGTGTGTGTATATGTGGGTCTATATGCGCGCGTGTGTGTGTGCGCCCGCACACGTGCGTGTGTGTATGTGTGTGTATATGTGTATGTGTGTGCGTGTATGGAGGGGGCGGAACGAAGCTCTGCCAATAATGTGAGCATTTTAAAAAACAGATTTGATATTATTTCCAATACATTATTATATGTGCTTGCCATTAATTACATTATTATTATTAATATTATTTTTGTATTACTATTACTATTATAGCCAATAAAACAAGGCTTAAGCACGAAGCGCCTCATCCATCCACCCTTTTATAAAAGACAACGCGAAATATCGACTACGTTCAACCTACTGCGAGCAGTATCGGTTATAACTGTGGTCTGGTTACTGCATGCCAATTATGTTGGCCAAAAAACCTTAATTGCACCAATACTAGTGGCTTGCACCGGTACTCTAGTACCTAGTGAGGGTTGTTGGGGAGGCACTGGAATGCACTAGACAAGCACAGACAGACATGTACAGACATACATGTAAAACTGTATATTATATACACACGATACACCTATGCACGCCCAGGTGGAAAAACCTCCAGATCTTCACTTATGTGCCGAGTTATGCGGGTGTCCGAGGCAACGAGGGTGTGGACTGTCTGGCATCAATGCGTTCACTATGACAGGAGTGAGGTTATCAAAGCCACACAAGATGCAAATGTCGAAGTCGATTACGATATCAAACAGGAATCCATTTCCTTGGCCATGATGGTTGATATGGGAGTGCAGCCCGGAGAAGCCTGACATGAAAATTTAACTAAGGATAATCTTCAACATGGGGAAGAGCCCCCCCCCCCCCCCCCCCCCCCCCCCCACCAAGGGGGCGCAAAGAGATTTCCAGGGGGCGACAAGCAAATTTGAAATTGAGTGCATTTGAATTTGTAATTTAAAAAAAAAAGTATAGGACCCTCTCCACCCTTTGGGCGTATAGGGCATATAGGGCTAGACCTATATTTTTATAGACCAACGGCACAAGATGGAGGATGTAGTCAGCATCACGCCGGACGGAGCCAAAGTTTTTTTTAAAAAGAAATGTCCGGCCCCTCTAGGGAGCGAACCCACGACCTTCATATCCGCGCCGCGCGTCTAACCGCTCTGCCACGGCGACTCCCGAATTCGTAATAATCAGTTGTTTTAATTTATGTTTTACTGTAATTATAATGTAAAAAAAAAAAATAGTAAAATAATTTACGCAAACACTTCTAATGCAAAGAATAATGCTACGCCCGAATAACACCGTACAAAACGAATCACAGCTGCCACCTAACCAACAATACACTTACTACCGATCACTAACATTACTCGCTTACGGTCGTTGCTGCAAACAAGTCATGTTCGAGTCCTCTCTAGTCTGCCCAGAGCTCGTTCTGTCCAAAGGTTTTGTTTTCCTGCATCGTTCAACTCGACTCTCCGTTTCTGGTGACTTTTTCATGTTAAGTGAGGTCGTCATGACTTTTCCCTTGGTTGGTCCTCCATAGTCTAAAACTTGAGTTCGTGTCTGGGTCACCTGTTACAGACAGGAGCGGTCACCATCAACATACCTTCTCGCGCCATAGGCTAACTTCGCACCTTACACTTGGCACGTTATTGGCATCAAGCAACACTTAGCTGTTGCGTTTTCCCTATATATGGACTGAGAGTGTATAATTCCGTAGCTATTGAGTTGGGTACATAGCGCAACACTGTGAGCTGCTGATCCCATCTGGAATATTTAACCAGGTTTTTGTTGTGAATAGCGGATTTAGACAATAGCATGTAGCCAGTTTACCATATAATTGTGAGTGCCTTGTGCGATATTGCGGTTACAGATGTTGACTTTGTGCAACTGTTGCTTCTGTCGATGGTGAAATACAACTTTAGTAGCGGAGGGTTTGTGTTGACAATTGCGAAATTGGCCGAGTCTTTAGTATGTTTCACATGTTTCTACAAGGGCCAGTAGTGGACGTTATGATTGGTTGTTGCTGGAACAGGAACGGAGCAACTATGGGGTAACTCATTTGTTTGTCTTGAAGGTAGAACTGCGATTAACTGAACAATTGTTAACTTAATTTCTTCTTTATTTTTTAAATTTTTTTATATCTAGACATGTAATGAGTGACGGCAGTAGCGTCCCTTGGCAGGACCAACTGGAATATCTGACCGGAAGTGGACAGGTGACCGCCGACGCCATCTTGGAGTACTTTCAACCGTTGTACGAGTGGCTTATACTGGACAACTCCCTACACAAGGAAACTGTGGGTTGGGAGGGAGCCAGTATCAACTGGCATGCTCAATAATGTCCAGCAGATAATGAAAATAAAATTGATTATAACCAATGTCTCTTGTGTGTTGGTGTATTTATCTGTAAAACTGAGCTTATATTCATGTAAGGGTTAATAGGCTCCATTGTGACCTTTAGGAAGAAAAGACCACCTGCTTTTTCACAAGCATGTGGTGAAGGTGACTAATTAGTGCTTGTCTGGTCATCTTTCTGGTATACTCTAATGTTCTTTCTCGGCCGTTCTCAGTCTTGCTCCGGATCCAGGCCCTTCTCATCTTTTATTGTATCTATTGATGGACCGATATCACATGTTATTGTCTCTATTGTGAGTTCCCTGACCAGATTTGGGGAGGAGAAAAAAACGGGGGATGGGGAAAGCGCACAGACCCACTGGCCGAAACTAGCATGACGTATCTCATCGTTATGACATCTAGACCTTCTAGTACCTTTTGGTGTCCCGGTGAAGTATAATTTATGGGGAAATTCCCGTTTGGGCGTATTGTATTTGGGGATTCCCATAAACTGGGGTATTCTCTCTGTCCATATTTGCATGGTCGGCCTCTTCTTCAATTCCCGCAAGGTCTGTACATTATTGCTTGCTGTGGTATACTGTCCGTTGACAACAACATTATATGTCGAAACCATTTCACTCGTTGTGTTTTAAAGTAATTCAGACCTGCTCTTTTTCTTATAGTGAGAGCCCTTCGTAAAAATACCAATTAAGTTGTAATTTTTCTTGTCAGCTTTTCTGCCATCGTTCAGGTCTGGCATTGATAACACAGGGTTGGCAAAAATATTGTGTTATAGAGTTAAAAAAAAATAGAGTGCTCTTTTGGTTTCTACTAATACATATTTGTTTTTTAGTATTGGTGCCATTAGCCCAATGAGTTTGTTTGCTTTGTTACATCTGTCATTAATCTCATCTTCGGGTTTGCCAGCTCATGATTTGTTGCTTGCTAGGTATTTACAGATTTTGGTGTGTTTTGTTTTCCGTAGGTTTTCTTGTAAGCTGGATTTTTATTGTTTTGTCTACTTGTCTACAATCCTGTGCTTTATTGGAGTGCAGTGAAGGCAAATGTGGTGTTTTTATTTAGAAAGAAAAAAATACTTTGGCTCCTGAAGTTATTCGAACGTGACGAAACTGTGTTTTTCCTATGGTATGCCTTTCATTCGAGCAGCTGTTGTGTCGTTTTGTTCAATATGGCCGGTGGCCGGTATACGTTTGAGGTGGCAAAATTTTACGTGTGTGTATAGCAAATATATGGTTAAAAGTCCGTTTTGCCTTTCTTCTGAGTGTAGTAAGCTGACCAGACACTCTGGTTACACCCAGGTGGCTTATTCTCACTAGTCCATAATAATCTTCTTTCTCTACTGATTCCGTTGCTTGTTGCCAAAGGATCACATCTGCCTTGTCATGTATCAATTCACCACCCAGTGGTGCAGATCCAGCCAATCTGTATGTCTGTTCATTACCCACTACGCTGGCATAGCATGAAGAAAAGTATGCTCACTACCCCTGACCTTTCCAGTGAATTTTGCCACTATTCTCGAAGCATTCCATGTCTTTACATTTTTCAGCCTGCTTTCAGTCTGTTACAATTACGACATGTGTATGCATCCTGTTCTCTAGCTACCGGAGAACTGCAGTTACCGTCTCCACCTCCATTCTCATGCTATTTGTTGTGGTATCACATGCTAGGCTGTCTTGCACTAACGATTTTCTATTGACTTTCGCAACGAACCCCCAGCCACTTCTCTTTCCTCTCAGCACTGAACAATCTGTATAGATAATCAGTTCACCTGGGAGTGAATTGTCGTGAATTAACTATTGGACTTAAACCTCCGTAGCACCCGCTGGCCACTCTCTGCACACCCGGCCCAATGTGATCATGACCCGACACAGGTCAAACTTTCCCCGCTGGTACTCTGTCCCACTCCTCTCCTCGCCCAATGTTCTCCAGCATGCACACTTGTCTTATTGTGTCTTCTGCTTCAGCCATCCACGCTTGTTCCCTTTTCAGCTTCTGACCCTTACCTGCAGCCAAAGCTTCATACAGAGGGTGTTCCCTGTCTGCAGCTACTCTGAGGTATGATATAGCCTGCAGCACCTTTAGCCTATCTGCAATAGTCGGCAATGCACACACAGTCATACACTCACTCACACACTCACATACACACACTCACACACACGCACTCAAACAAACACACTCTCACACTCACTCACACACACTCACACTTACACACGCACACCACACACACACACACACACATATATATATATATATATATATATATATATTTATACTCATATACACACCTACTCACACACACTCACATACAGACACACACACACACTGCCTAGTTAGGAATTCGAAACCAGGATTATGAAGGCGGCAGTAAATGTATTATCACACAGCAACTTGGCTTCTCTATTTGAACAAAACAAACACACACACACACACACACAGACACATACATACACACACACTCACACAAGTACTGACAGCACACGTTAAAATATATAACTCTCCTTTATTGTCTCAATGAGAAAGCTGCAAAAAATTGGGTTAGATGCATGAATATTTTGAGCTTTTGAGCATCCTCTATAGCAACATATGAATGTGAATCGTGGACTATCTCCCAGTCCTTTATGAAGGAAATAAGGGCGTGTGAGCTTAATCGTATGGAATACTATAGACCAAGGAGAGAAGAAATACTGACACATTGAAAGATGTGAGCATCAAAGAATACTGGCTAATAAACAGCATCTTGTCTCGAGAGCTGACACATCTTCGCCATATCCAGCGCCACGGTGGACTGAAACAAGTGAATACCAGAAGGTTTTGTGCCGTGAAGAAGGGGCTAAGGCCGACGAACACGAAGATGAATACAGGATATAAGTAACTCCTTGGATATGCAAGTGCAGGAGGCGGGAGAGTTGGCGAGAGACTGGGTTTCTTTCAGGCAGACCATGATGAGAGCGATGTTCTGCAAAGGACCTGCTGCATGATGATGACAGGCAGATGGAGGCACTCATAGGTGAAGATAGATTTGTCTATTTTGCTACATGACATATCTAGCTGTTATATTATCTTTTGGGGTCAAATTTTAATCAGGCAAATCTTAAAGTGCGTAAAAAGGTTAACTTCCTGTTTAATACCATGGTTCTTCTTCTGCATCTGCTTCTTCTTCTTCTTCTTCTTCTTCTTCTTCTTCTTCTTCTTCTTCTTCTTCTTCTTCTTCTTCTTCTTCTTCTTCTTCTTCTTCTTCTTCTTCTTTTTCTTTGCTTGCACCATTTAACTCAGCTAGGTGTTGGGGAAGCTGTAAGGATATTCAGTTGGTGTTCATTTCTTTTAGGTTGCTCTTGATGATGCCGCTCAATTTCTTGCGTGGGTTTTCCCCTTGCTCTGTGTTCATTATATTTCATTAGCCTGGCTATTTGTGGCAGTAAGTGCCAGGGCATTCTCGTCAGGTGGCCAAACTATCTCATCTGTTTTCTTGATTGTGTCTCTTCTTGTCACACCGGCAGCTCTCTTAAGACATCTCCTCTCCAATGTTCCGATCTTCTGTTCGTTAGTTGAAGTAACTGTCCATGTCTGGCACTGGTAGCAGTGTTATTGCGGCAAAATTATGCTAGTCTCATATTTTTTTAAAAAAGTGCTGTTAGTCCTTTTTGAGTAATGTGGTCAACATCTCTGAAAACCAATGTCAATTTCGAAAAATATTCCTTTTAATGTGGGTTCGAACCCAAGGCATTAAGTCTGTATAAGTAAGTAATGGTTCCTTTTTCACGTTTTTTTTTGGGGGGGGGGGGGCGTATAGTGCGTATAGGGCTAGACCTATATGTGTATAGACCAATCGACACAAGATGAGTGATGTGGTCAGTATCACACCGGCTGCCTTTACTTCCAGCAAATGCACCTGGTACCCACTCAAGGCTGGGTCGAACTGAAAGTCAAAGTCATTTTTGAAAAAAAGTTCGGCTTTGCCAGGTAGCGAGCCCACGAACTTCCGATCCGCACGCGTGCGTCTAGTCGCTATGCCACGGTGACTCCCTTGCAGTGATATTCAATGTAAGAATAATTTAAGGGGTTTGGTTGGTTGGTAGAATTAGAGAAGCTCCTCGGACGCAAGACATGAAGTCAGCGTGAGAGAGTTAAAACTTGTGACTCTGTGGGGACACGGGATAACTGGGGGAATAGATGAATGGCGATTCTTTCTACGACAGGGACCCAGAGCGAGCAGGTGTGAAAGCTGAACCTTAAATCTGTGAAAATAAAAGGTGATATGATGCTTCTAAATGCGTCAATGGACATATTTAGGGCGGGGGAGGAAAAAAAAACAGACTCTAAGTCCTTTTAATCTTTCAGTACGAGCCAACTTACCATAAGTTGCTGATTACTCCATAGATTGCATTTGTTTCTCAGTTTATTCTACCAACATCTTGTGTTTTTGTTTTTTGTTTTTTTATTACAATTTTCTTTAGACTCCAAACGTTACCCTAACTTCTTCTGCCTGAAAGCAACTATTTCAACTTATCAAGATCAAGGACTGTTAATAAAAATTAGAAAATCTTTGCAATTAAAAATAATGGTCGAGGTAACAAACACTTTGGATTAAAACAGTTAACACTAAAATCGGCAAAGATAACACATTAGGGGTTTGTTAAGGTAGAGAGTGTCAGGCGGAAAGGCAGATGTATCGTAGCCTAGCTACAAACCACAACACAGCTTAAAACCGCAAACAATTAAAAACTGAAATCTTTTGCTTCTTGTTCACTTGCTTTACCTATTCGGGTGTTGAGTGAGATGTAACGTTTAGCTTCCTGCTTCTGAGACCGCCTCGACCATCGACACGGTCTGACCTCATGGTTTGGAGAATCATCTATGTAAGAGTTGACTGAAATAACACGAGATGGAAGGTTGTGAATCGACGTGACTACCAACGCCACACGACATGAACTATAGAAGATCATCTGTGTCAGAGTCGACTAAAAGAACATGAGATAGAAGGTTG